TCGCACTTCATTGATGCGTCTCGCGGCAGCTTTCTTCATCGTCTTCTTCCTCGTCGATGTCGTTTGCAGCGAGGTTTAACCTTTTATTCCCCGAGTTTTCTTTTTGTGTTATGTTTTCTCGGGAAAATCTCTGCGAATCTGAGTTTCCAAAAGAATCGCATTTTTGTAGATTTAGCTGATGATGAAATTGTGTAATTGGATCCTTGCCAAAAACCTCTAGATTCCGTTTTTTTTTTTTGTAATTCCTTGTGCTAATTTGTCTTGTTGTTGAATCAAATTGTCACAGGAGTGCACGAGAACCTGCATTGCGCAAAATTGCGACAGTAAGATTGAGTTTTTTCTTGCAGTGTGTTTTTTGGAACGTTTTGTGTGTGTGCGTTTTAGCTACGAAATTATGTATGTTTCTTCTATTGTTTGTTTCAGCTCTTTCTATACGGTATGGGAAGTATTGTGGGATTGGTCACTTTGGATGTCCTGGTGAGGAGCCCTGTGATGAACTTGATGCTTGTTGTATGGTCCATGACGATTGTGTTGAGTCCAAAGGTAAATCAATCAAGAATGCAAATCCCTTTACTGTTTGATTTGTATTTTCTGCGGTTTTAGATGCATTCGCACGATGAAAAAGGTTAATACCGTTCTTACGAGTACCGGGAATTGGTATGTAGTTTTCACTTTGGCCAAAATTGGATGTAGCTTTTTGACACGAGAGAAGAATGATATGCCCATTAGGCCTTTATAAACAGAGCGAGATTATTGGTAACTAGTAAGTACATACTTGAGCAGATCATGGAATTAAGAATTGGGATTTGAGCAGATCATGGATCTGGTTTTGCTTTGGTCACATGTAGAGACACTAGAATTGATCTTATGTAGAGATACACACTAGAATGAATCTCGTCTATATTCTGGTTTTGCTTTGCTCATATGTAGAGATAATAAACTGATCATAGATCATTATGCTTGCAGAAATCAAATGGCCATAGCTTAAGTGATTTGAAACATATTACCGTGTTTCATTCTTCTTAAGCTATAGTTTTAACGGATTACAAATACTAAACCTTTAGTCTTGAATTTGGCATGCTTCCGCTGAAATCATGCTTGTTTGTTTCCCATTTTGCAGGTATGACTAACATAAGCTGCCATAAGAAATTCCAGAGATGCGTAAATAGGCTAAGCAAATCGATAAAACAATCTAAACACAAAAAGGTCGGATTTTCCACAAAGTGCCCTTATTCGGTAGTCATACCTACGGTGAATCAAGGAATGGATATCGGCATTTTATTCAGTCAATTAGGCAATGATTTGAAAGTCGAGCTCTGAGTTTTTGCTGCGCCTATACAATGGCCTTGGAGCTACCACAGAATTTTTGTTGATGAGGATTACCATATATATTGCTAGTGCAAGTCACAGATAGATTTAGTTTAAATCAAACACTATTAATGATTTAACTTGTAATTTGGTGGACACTATAAGCAATTGATGGCATTATATGATTTTATGCTACATGATACAAGTTTTGATTAGAAACTCTTCTCTATTCTTATGTTGAAAGTTATGAACTATGATCAGAGCCATCGCGGTTTAAGAAACAAATCTAAACAAACCACCCCAAGACATCCAAATCATATGGGTCAATCTAACAAAATGTCTCAACTCATTCCACTAACTATCTCTTAAACCTATATCATGCAACTTATCGATAAACTTTGTTGTTAAGTTAACAAAGTTACACCTGCATGTATTTACTATATCTTACAGGAAAACACAACATACATAATTAGTATTCATTCAAATCTATTTTTTGTTTTTGTGTTCACATTTTCAGTTTATATCAGTTAAACTATCTTCGATAATGACTTATTTTGAGGGTGACTCATCCTCTAAATAAAAGTTTGATGGTGTTATTACTACAATGGTACATCCTCAGATCCATTTTTAAAAAACTATTTGTTTTGTATTTTAATTCTCAATGTTTAAAATCCCCTTCCTATTAAAAGAGAAGTACAATTAGTGAAAAT